CCCAAGAGAGATGTATATTGGGCGGCAATGTGACTTCCCAGCTGTGACGAGGCTAAATATTTGGGCGGCATGAAGCTTGTTAGCCTGTCAAAATGAAATAAAAATCCATAAATTAGCCTCAGCATCGTATAAGCCACCGGGTTCAAAGCGTGTGAAAAAAGGAGCGGCTTATAGTCTGGAAATTACAGTAATACTGTATTTACAAAGTCCAAATATATATAGTAAACATGATAGAACATTACTGTGCAAGTAGGACAAATTAGTATAAATAAGTATTTCACAGGTGTATTAGTTTAAATGCACATGACATATAGTACACACATAACTAACATATACACAGGCTGTGTGACAGGTTACTGCACAGGTAGTGAGTGGCATTGAGATTGAATTATGATGGTAAGGTAGATACATAGATACTGTATCATACATGATACAGCCACATAGTGCAGCAACAATAAACATATTAGGTGTCACAGATGTGGCTCAGTGTAATGTTATTGTCAATAGTTCAGTAATCTGACAGCTTGTGGGTAAAAACTGTCTTTGAGTCTTTCCGTGTGCGATGAGAGGCTCCTGTCTCATCTGCCTGAGGGTAGTAGACGGAAAAGACCTTGTGCTGGGTGGGTGTGGTCCTTAATGATGCTGCAGGCTTTACGCAAACACCAGCTGTGGTAAACTTATTGTTTCTTTGGCAAGTTTTGTTAGAAGTTTTCACCACTGGAGTGTCAGTAAATATGTAACTTCCCCATATGCTTTGATTTTTGATAAAACCAGGTTGTTATTGTCTTTAAACCCTCCCTCATTATTGTGCTCATAACAACATTCAGTGACTCTGGATCACTCATATTTCACACTTTTTCCTACATTCTGCACATCATCACACATTTAAAACAAAAACACACAACATGTTTGCATTGTTAATTGTATATTAATCATTTGAGTGATTAAAATGGCATTATGTGATGAATACACATTGCTTGCTGATTTTATGCAAAGATCTCGCATGATCTGTTTGCACTTAGGGCATATGTTGCAGTGACTCTCAGCTACTACCACACCAAATGTTCTGTGTAAAATTGACCTAATTTTAGGCATATTTGTGTTAGCAGTGGTGGCCATCTTGAATCTTGTTCAAATTACATGTTAAAACTGTAATACGAGTCTCTGTATTGTATGAACAATCTGTATTACATGGTAAAATGTTAAGAAGTAAGTCCTTGAGAAAACATTATGAAACATTTTGAGTTTTGCTTTTAAACTTAGAAGACACGATGGTGTTTCATTTGGCTACAGAGTGCCTTTATTTCTTTCTACAACCGTAGTGTGAACAAAGCTTTTCAGTGTTTGTGTGTGACAGAGACGGAATAGGCCTTCGTCTTGTTTTGACACACATTCAGGCTCATTCTGTTAACAACTTGCACAAGAAGACCTTATTCTTCACAGTTACTGATGATTTTTATCAGGCTCCACTTAACTGACAACACTGAAGAATTTAGAGAACATCAATTTAAAAGTGAACATAAAATGTTTTTCTTTCTTTGACCCATAGGAAACAAAGTCCATCAGCATCCAGGGATCCAAACCAAAAATACGACCAAAGGGAGGGGGGCGACCACCCACAGTATGCCCCGACAGACGGCAGCATGCCCAGATCACCGTCCGACTATGGGGATGGGGACCCTCGGCGGGCTCCGCGGGGCCCACATTTATTCCCAGATGGGGATGCAATACAGATGGGCTATCAGGACCATCGGGGTCCGAGCCGCTGGCACTCCCAAGAATACCCACTTGACCAACAGCTAGATGGACCACAAAGTGAGTTTGACCTCCAGCGTCAGCGCCAGGAGGAGTTTCAGGCACGGTACCGCAGCGATCCCAACCTGGCACGCTATCCCGTCAAGCCCCAGCCCTACGAGGAGCAAATGAGGATGCACGCTGAAGTGGGGCGGCTGAGGCATGAGCGTCGCCACAGTGATGTCTCCCTGGCTTACACAGAGCAGGACGATCCTGGTCCAATTAGGCTGTCCCGTCAGCACCTCACAGAGCGCCGGCCGCCTATGATGGAGCAACGTTCATACTCAGTTGACCGGTCCTCCCCAGGGCCCATGGGTCCTGGCCTCGGAAGCCACCGAACCTCTAACCACAGTCCCCCAACTCCGCATCGGAGCCCTGTGCTGGGTGAGCGAGCGGGGGACATGCGGAGAGGAGACCTGGGAGTTGCTGGGGATGCCATGAGGAGGCAGCAACACCATTTGGACCCAAGCTCAGCTGTCCGCAAAACCAAAAGAGAGAAGATGGAAAGTATGTTAAGGAACGACTCTCTAAGCTCAGACCAGTCGGAGTCAGTGCGGCCACCACCCCCTAAGCCCCACAAAACCAAAAAAGGAGGAAAGATGAGGCAGGTGTCACTGAGCAGCTCCGAGGAGGAGCTGGCCACCACACCAGAATACACAAGCTGCGAAGATGTGGAGATAGAGAGTGAATCAGTCAGTGAAAAAGGTAGGAGCTTCTACTTTCACCGTACGCACAAACACTTGTCTTTCTCATTACATGACTAACTTTTCTAAAGCTGTTTTAATAGAATGAAGCCTTCCTGCTGTAGATTCTCAAACGTTGTGAGAACATTTTATTGTACCTGTAATGAAATAATTGTTGCTTTTTCTCTCAGTATTCTAAATGCTGTTTTCTGAGTCCAATGACCTCCAGATTTCCCAGTCTGTGTGTGAGTCTGGTGTGTGTGGTTCTGTGTTTTTACACGTTTGTCTCATTATCTTTAGAATAATTTTAATAATGTGTGATTAACTTTCACAGTTGTCATAATCAGCTGATTTTTTTTGCATTACACTTTAGTTCCTACAGTAAATGTAAAAAGTTTAGCGTTCTTTAAAGTTATTTTACTTTACATATAAACAGTGGCTCTCTATATGAAAGCACTAAAAGTGTGTTTTTGTTATACTTAAAACTAAACTCCTGGCCTAAAAAATTTACCATTTACCAACAAAATCTAAACTAATTACAATGAGCCGTGTACGTTTTTATGCAAAGTTCTGCTGCGTTTCTTTTTGTCAATGAATCTTCTCTAATGGCGTCTGTGTCTTTGACAAGGACGTCTTTTAACCGTGTTCAGAGAGGATGGGCGGCCATGATTGTGGCTGTAATATCTAATGAACGTTGAGTAACTTGTCTTTTTTTTTTGACTGCTGTTCTTACAGCAAACTGTGTGAGGTCCTGACTGGAGCACACATTTTACACACAGCCAGTTTGTTCTAATGGACAGTGTTGCACTGTACTGAGCTGAGTTAATAACAGCTGCATTTGCTGAGCAGAGGTATGTTATCTATGATGCATTTTAATAATTAAAGATAATAAATGAGCAGAGGGTGATTATGTGTTTCTGCAGCCTATAGCCTTTCCATTATTACTTGCTGTTAGCATACTGTAAATTGTTGTAAACTAGCCCTTTACAAAATGAAACAGGATTTTGACTTGGTGCACCAAAGAAAGTCAGAGTAAAACGTAGATAAAGCAGCTCTGTTTAGTACTTACTAATATATCTTTGGAACTGTATTTTTAAAGACTTTTCTCTGCATGCAGTTTTTTTTTAAGTTAACGTTCTGAGTCATTTTATGACAGAGCCTAGCATGGGCTGTTCTGCCTGACCTTAACAAAATATCAAAATAAACCTGATTGCATTTAAATACAGTACTAAAGTTGTACTGGTTGAGCAGATCCTACTGTTTTCTACCTTGTGATGTAGCGACCACTTGCTAGTTAATGAGCCATGTTATCTGCCTCAGTCTGCCCTGGACCATTTGTTTCATCGACACAAGGAAGGCTAATTCTTGTGTCTTCTTGTGAAGGTTGGTTTTCAGACAGAGATACATTAAAAAAGGTGATGAGTGGAGTGAAACCTTATACTGGTCCTTAGTAGCCAAGCTGTCACTGTGGGGGTTTTCTACCAGAAAAAAAAGTATTTTTAAGGAGGGAAAGTTTGAGCGCTTCACCTAATTTGTTCACCTTATAAAAGTGACTGACAGCTTGAACCAATTGGCTGGGGAGACCTGGGAGAGTGAGTGTTACCTCTCAGAACTCTTGCACTGTCTCTGTTTGAATGCCCATTAAAACAGCTCAAACTAAAAGAATGGCTCAGTAAACAAGTGGGCGGTTCTGAATCTCCATCTTTTAAAACTGTGGTTAACCTTAACATTAAAAAAACATGTCGGGCTAATCAAAAGTATCATAACGCAAATTATTTCTTGAACTCAACATCTCAGTTTATAGCAGTGTTTCTGACTGAAATGATGTGTTTGATTTCTGCTTTGCAACAGCAAATAGGAGTACAACAGCAAAACCAAGATGGCCGTCTGTGCACTCAAAGGAGTCATCCCACCTCCTTAAAGAAAGGCCCACAAACCCACAATGAAACAGTCAAAGTGACTGAAATAACTGCATTTAGTATAGAATCACAATAACACTGTTCTGTATATGCAAACTTCTTGACCAACCCGTGTGGTTGAGATGATTGTGTGAATGTTTAGGAAGCGTTCACACCATTGAGATCCATTTTCTTCCATAAGTTTTTCGGCACAATTCTCATCCCTCAGATTTCAAGCTATTTTAACAAATCATGTATCAAAACATTCAGCTCTTTCAGGACAATCCTGCTAGGACTTTTGGTATTGGTGCAACTTTTAGCTTTTTGAAATATTTAACTCAATTCAATTCAGTTTACTGATATAGTGTCAAGTCACAGCAGGTCACTTCAGGGCACTTTAGCCATTTCTGCAAATTTTTTTCTCATAGAAAATGATTTGAGCTCATTTTACATCCTTCAAATCTTTAGATCTGTTTACAACCTTTTCCTGCTCCTTTCACATTTTGTTCTGGTTCAGCTTCTTTCAGCTTCTTAGTGCAAATTTAAACATTTTTACAACTGCTTTCAGCTGTTTTTTCAGCCGTTTTGCGCTCCTTTCCGATTCTTTCTGCTAACTACAACATTTTTGTGCTTCTTCTAACTTCTTTCTGCTAATTTCAGCTTGTTATGCTCCTTTCAGCTTATTCCTGCAAGTTTCAGTTTTTTTTTTTTTTTTTTACTATTTCAGCTATATAGTTGTTTTTATAGTAATTTAAGCTTTTTTCAGCTAATTCCACATTTTTTGTACTCATTTAAACATTTTTCAGCCAAATTCAGCAAAAATGTACTATCTCCACACTTCCTTCTTGTAATTTAAGCTTCTTTCTGATTTTTAGCTACTTTGCAGCTGTTTTTTTGTTGTTGTTGTTTTTGCTAATTTCAGGGTTTTTTTAATTTCCACTTTTTTGTTCTCATTTTTGTTTCTTTCAGCAAACGTGTTCTTTCTGGTTTCTTCTGCTGATTTAAGCTTGTTCCACCTTTTCAGCTACCTTTTTAGCATTTTAGCTAATTTACCATACCATACCATTTTATTTATAGATCACTTAAAACAGCGACAAGGCCAACCACATTTCAGCTGTTTTCAGAAAAAGTCAAGTTTTTCATGGTAATTTCTGCGACTTTCAGCCTAATTAACTTCTTTATGTTAATTCCAGCTTGTTATGCTCCTTTTAGCTTTTCTTCTGCTAGTTTCAACTTTTTCTGATATTTCAAGGTCAAGGTTCTTTATTGTCATTCACATCACATGTGGTACATGGTAGAACGAAATTGTGTACACAAGGTTTCAGTTACTTCCAACAATAGCAAAATATAAAGTGTAAAAAGAAAGAGTAAATAAGGATTTAAGATATAAGCTAATCTATACGCTAAACGAACACCCAACAATACTCTAAAAGATCTAAGATATACACTAGTAAATGAAAAAAACAATACACCGAACAACAGCAGCACAAAAATTTAGCTTTGTCAGCTAATTCCACTTTTTTTCAGCTCATTTCAGCTCCTTCCACTTCCTTCTGGTAGTTTAAGCTTCTTTCTGCCTTTTCAGCAACTTTTCAGCTATTTTTGCTCATTTTCAGCTTTTTAAATATTTTTTTAGCTAATTTCCTCATTTTTGTGCTCATTTGTGCTTATTTTAACCGAATTTAGCAACTATATGTTCTTTCTACTTTCTTCTGTTAACTTGGGCTTGTTCTTCTATTTCAGCTGCATTTCAGCATGTTTTTAGTTAATTTCAGCTGTTTTTCAGCATGTTTTTAGTTAATTTCAGCTGTTTTTCAGCATGTTTTTAGTTAATTTCAGCTGTTTTTCAGCAAGCTGCAATAAGCATTCACAGTGCATTTTCTCAGGAAATGAAATTTCGCTAGTTACAAATTGATTTTACTGTCAAACCTGTAATTATAGTGCCCAAATGTTAGAAGCAACAAACAAACAGAATAAAAAATGAGGAACAGCTGCTTTTGGACAAACAAAAGAATAAGCCAAAAGATAATGTATAGTACAACAGTTTATTAATTGCTTTATTCAAATTAAAACATTAAGGATTAAAAGAGAAATAAATGCCTTTAGCCTGCTTTTATATTTATCTGTTCTTCACGGAAGGAAAAGCTGCACAGCACCAGCATTACATACATTATTGATGTGGGACTCTCCACATTTACAGGTGGCTGTGGAACAAAAATAGGCTGATTTCAGGGTCATGGGTTCTGTTGTTTTTGTGTACAGCCTACATAGTTCAGCCTGAGTAGGAGAGTACAGAAATGTTTAAAGTTGAACTACTGACCTAAATAAGGATATATTTTTATTTTGGCTGCAGAACATCCTGAGGCAGCTGTTAATTTGATGTATGAGTTTGAACTGGGTGGTATGAATTAAACCTTTACTGTGATTTGATACCAGACATTTGATAAATTATTCATTAGGTTTAATGTAATTTGTCCTAATGATTAAAAAAAAAATATATAAAGTAAAAAGATAAAATATTTCAACTCTAGGCTCAGATTTTGACATGTGGCACTGCAGAATGTATTGAAGACATCTGCTGATTGTAGTAGACTTTCACTTAGTTCAATCAGAGCTTGAATTAAACAAATTAAACAACGAGCATAGATATATTCTGTTCGTATTAGATGAGGATAATTCTGTCAGGCCAGCTGAAACGCCCCCTTCCTGAATAAAAAACCTGTACAGAGTCTAAAACTGTTCTGTCTTCGCTCAAACCAGACAGGATGATGTACCACTGAAAACTGCTGCACGTTCATTTACAGTCTTTATTTTATTTTATTAAAGAAACAAAACAAACAAATAAAAAATAACTACAACAAAAATATCACCAGAACCCCCCCCATGCAATCCCACCCATTTCCATCATTAGTTTTTCTCTGTTGCGCAAGAACACTAAGTTGGAGACAACACAATTCTCAGGTATGTCAGTCATTTTGGTTTGCTGGTAACTAACTGTCTCCTTGTCTACAGCAGAGGTGAGCCTTGTTGCTCAATCATTGGCTTTTTAAGTGCACTTCAGGACAAATTTGACTTTTCTTACTCTCAGATGTTCTGAATTCAATTGCATTAATATTTAAACCCC